GGGCTCAGTTTGGAGGCGAATATCTCGGCGGTGAGTGCACATCTGAGCTGCCGTTTGGACAGTGTCTTAGGGTCCTAAGATCACTTTTCACGTAAGGTCCTCCATATGTCCAGATTTGCCTGGACGCTGCCTTTAAAGTGGGGTAGACAAAGCTCTTAGAAAAAATTATGCTTACTGCTTGTGGAACAACATTCGGATGCTGCTGTGTAATTTGTGGTGTTCCAACATGCTGCTGCTGAGGAGGTTCAGGCAATGGCTGAAAATACTTGAAGTACACGATATCGGCTATGCGGAACATATAAGAACTTACCGCGCTAGGTTTTTGCGGAGGCGCTGATGATGGCGGTTGCCGAAACAAACCTCGTGCCCCATGTCGTTGGGTATATTTGAACATCCTCAACTTTGTTACAGAAGCATGGGTGGGTCGAACTATGCCTGGAGCTCTCAAAGGAAGTTGAGGTAGACGTGGATAGCGTTTTATCGCTGAGGTAGCCTGAAAACCCAAAAATTTTCTCATACAAAGTTTCCTTGAAACTTACCTGTGACAATTTTCTTCCACCTGCCTCCAAAGCATGCTGGGCTCCTCCAGCTTTTGCTCCATGAAGTCGGTGTTTTTCATTAGCCATTTTGATCCTCCTATAACAACTAGTAAAACAGGCACTGCTCTCAGCGAATTAAAAAAGAAAACAGCAAAACTCACTTGAAAACAGCCTCTCCAAAACCGGGAAAAGCTTTCTGAAAATCAGCAACATCGGTTAAACCCTGCATTTTACGCCGTCGGACAAATCTTGCGATCATTTTCTGTAAAACTGAGTAAAATAAAATAAAATCAAAGAACGGATAATAAACAAAGCCCGTTGTTGCGGAAAAGAAGCTGCAATTATTTTATATGTTTGCGAATTATTCCGAGACAAAAATTATTTTATTTCACAATGATAGTTGTCAAAGTGAGACTAGAACGATACTTCATAATTTTTTTATATTTATAGCGGAGGCGGTCCCAAAACTTTCGATAGATGAAGAGGAGTAGAAGAATTATTTCAACAAAGACATGTGTCGCTCGTGTCGAAAC